AAGAACTACTTGCTGGCAACTTTCCAAGGGATTCCTCCCACTGCCTTTTTGGATTGATACCGCTATTTTCGTGGTTCTCATTAGGGATTTCCAGTCCAGCACTCAAATCTTTAACCTCAAATTAATTTATATCAACTTCACTCATTTTCTGCAAACAAATTTTTGGTGGCTTTCCCTAAAAAATGGTTTAAATCGTAGGTTATCATTGCTCTAATTTCCTACAAACGGCACCAATTTGTAAACATCTAAATCGAAATTAACAAATCTCTCTCGTCTAACCAAGGTTTTCTCTCCATAAACTCAATGATATTTGTTGAATATAACAATTGAGAGAGAAATTAACTAATTGAAAAGAATGTTCATGAAACTTCAGAAAGGGGTCGAGTTAATTATTATGATGAATCCAAAAGGGTAATATAGTCCCTTTTTTTAACGACAGATCATAGTTGTTGAATTTTTAATTGAATTTGTTATATGTTTACATTTTATTTACCATACTTCTTATTCTCCATTCATTGACTATGATGTCACTTCAAAAGGTTTTCACATTCTTATTTACACGTGTTTAAATAACGATTTTGCTAAATTGAAATAACTTAGACACAAATAAGAATAGTTTTACTCGTTTAAGAATTTGTTCTCACACCAAACTTACAATTACGTATTAAAAATGCTTGTTAACAGTGTTATATGTTCGCAAATGCGAGCTCAAGATAAAGTACCACAGTAGTGATCAAAACTCCCACCACTAACTTTGACTTTGACTTTACACAATTTATAATAGTAATGAAGTCGAGTGGATATCCCTCCCACTGTCCTTGTAAAATTAATTGATACCATCATAAAAATATTTTACGAATTAGACATTTGTTTTTTGACATCAAAAGCATCAGTAAACATTGTTCGCGAATAGACTTATGTAATCTTCAAAAAATGAAAATAACGGAAAAGGGGCATTTTTGCATTTAGGCACAAAACAAAGAGTATTAATACTGAGACTTACTTTTGCACACAATCAAGAAAGAGAACGAAAGAACCATTGTGTTCGTGGGGGTAAAAATCCCCTTTACTTATCAAACTTATTTCCCAGCAACTATTGAAGTAACTTTCTAATAGTCACCGTACTTTAAAACATATGGACATTTTGACATCGTGTTGAACTCAACATACAACTGACAAAGTTTATCAAGTAAGCCAATGCTGAAGAAGACTAGAAAAGGGATAACAAATCGAGTATGCCATTTACAGTCCAGTGAAAAAGAACAGGGAAAAAAAAAAACAGAAGCACAACTCCATATCTATTATCAAATATATGTATATAAGTTGTAACATGCAAACGTAGATAAGTTACATCCACCACCATGTTGTCTAAAACGTATACATATTGGCATCTAAAACTAGAAACTTCAATGAACCATTACATTTCCAAGCTAAACCTAAATTAATAAGACCTGCTCAACTTCATGACTCATCACAGTAATATAATGTTGCACAAACCAAAATAATTTTATTATCTGCGTAATATGCACATGAAATTTCACATGCAAAGAATGATTAACTTACCTAGTGAATCTACCCGAACGATATCTGAACTTAAGCTGCAGCTATTTGTCTGCATGATTATCAAGATTCAAAGCTTGAAGCAACTTTGTCCAGGACTCGGGAATTCCTCCAGGAAGAGTAAACTCCAGCAATTTTCCACGAGCGCGGTAAAACTCCTCAACAGGTCGGCTCTGGAGGTTATGTATTTCAAAATACAAAATATTGTGGATTACCAAAACTTACTATTAAAGTAACTAGTGATTATAGTTTGCTCTTTTTTCCAAGTTCAGAACGAGTACTTCACTTAGCCCCGTTTGACAACCATTAAAAAGAGTTTTTTGGGAAAAATGAGTTTTGGAATAGTGATTTTTTGAAGAATGTGTGGTTAAAAAGTAAAATTTTGTGTCTACGTGCAGAATATTTATATTATGAGAATGTGTGGTAAAAAATGAGTTTGAGAAAAAAAGAGTTTTGTTTTAATGGTTGACAAACAGGAGCTTATTTATGTCAAGTAGCAACAAAAAGTCATTCAGAAGTGATCAAAACATACAACAATAACTCGCAAGTCCCAAATGATCCCTGCTGCTGGCGTCCAGTTGGAAGAATATTATTTGCAAGGTGAATACAAGGTGGTGATAGATCTTTAAATCTATACATGCAAGAAAGAGAAAGGTGTGCATATATACTCATCCATCAAGTTGGAGGACCTAGAAGTGCTTCCTACTCATGGTATTTTATTCAGAAACCACCATAATACCATTGAAATTCTACTGTACATGCAATCGTCGTCTCATAAAAGTATAGTATGAAGTGAACATCAAGCTATAAAAAAAATAGCATCCAAAGATACATCATTTCTCATTTTATCTGGTGCTGCTAAATAATATAAAGGGGTCTTCCCTTTTGCAAAACATCGTAGTTTACAGGTAGGTAGTTATTTTCTCAAATGCTTTTCAATTACTTGGAAGTATAATCTCCTTAAGAATGATGATTTATTAACTTCGTTTTAACTGCAGAAGAAACATGGGAAATCTTGGCCAAAGAAAGATGCAACTAATGGGGCTTACAAAAAGATGAAGCTTTACCTTCTCATTGTATACTAAGAGACGTTCTTTAACTACTTCTTCTGTGTCATCAGATCGTGTTATTAATTTTGATTCACAATTTGGAGGAGGAAGTAGGGGAGGCATGTACATCCTTGGGCTTCCATCTTCTCCCTTGATGTCAATGCAGGCAACATTGTAATTCCCTCCACACTCACTGCAAATTCTTCTTCCAAGGCATTTGGCAATCAATGCTTCTTCACGAAGTTTCAGATTAATTACCAAATCAATGTCAGTTACCCCCTCTAAGATTTCCTACACCATAGAAACACAGGAAAAACAGAATGCTGGAGGTGAGATGACTGTTCTTTTGGGTAGTCAATTGAATGATAGAAAAAAGAAATGGGACTGATAAAACATTTAGAAACAAAAAATTCAAAAATGCAGGAAAAAATAAGCAGCTACAGATAAAATGAAACAACTTGCATTAATTTCACAGTTTTTGTCTGAGACAAGGGTGGTACAAAATGGCAATGACAAGCAGCAAGATCTAAATTTCTCTTGTGATTTATATTACTGCAAACAAATCGCTGAAACTAGTCCAAGTGTCACGGACCGCAGCTTTACCTAAGCCCCGTGACCCTATCGCAGTCGCAGTTTGCCCAACTTCGACCGCACATTGTAAATATTTCATTTAATTGTAAAATAGTTGGAAATTAGAAAAGTTTAGTATGATTCCTCGGCTTTTTAACGTCTACTCCCGTCATTCGGGTTTTTGTTGCTAAATCTATTATAGGGGGTATTAGTCTTTCAAACATCTTTCAAGCTTTCTAGTGTTCACCCCCTGCACTGGCCATTGTAATTTCCTACTTTCATCTATTGTAATGTTCAGCTTTCAAGCAATCAATGATCAAGTTTATTTCAATGCATTTCAATTTCATATTGCAAGCTTTCTTTAAATTGTAATCAAATTTCTTTTCGTCCCGAAACGACCGAGAGAAGGCGGAAGGTAGTC